TCTCTCTCTCTCTCTCTCTCTCTCTCTCTCTCTCTCTCTCTCGTTCTCTTTCTCTTTCTATATGTGTACAATAGCAAGAAAAACCAAACAAAAAGAGGTAAATCGGTGTCAATACGTATTGCAATGTGGGTTTACTGCCGGCATATGTGTGATAGGCGGCGCGTCGTTACTTTTATTTCTATTTCACGTTATGTAGAAAACGCGCGAACGCTATCACTCGATAAGCTCGCGAGTCTATCGCAACCGTAAAAAAGTTGTTTTCAGCCGCACTCACGATCGATATCCTGGAAATATGCGCGAGTATCCGAGAGAACACGCGACGAAAGGGACGCGCAAAAAATTAATAAAGAAAAATAGAGCAACGTGACCATCTGGGAAACGCCACCAACCCTTAATCGAAATTAATTTCCATCGATGTTGATTAAATTTAATTACTCTTTTATTCGCCTCGATCTTTCTCTCATGATTCTCTATCCTCCTCGCAAGTATGACTGAGGCATCCTGTATCGATTCCTCGTGCTTCGTGCGCTATTCTTACGCTTCATCGTCTCCTCGGGCCTTAATCGCGCTCGGGGCACGCGCGCTGGGCCCTCCAACATACCGAGAAGAGAAATGCCCATTTCAATCTCGTGCTTTTTCGCGCGATCGTCCGCGCACTCTGCTCGCTTAGGGGGTTCCCCGAAAAAGTAAAGGGAAAAAGATGTGCACAGAGCAAACGAAAGAGAGAAGGGGAGAGAGAGAGAGAGGGAGAGTGAGAGAAAGAAAGAAAGAGAAAGGGGTAAGGAAAAATGCGTATGCTAATGCAGCACGGCAGCGTTTACTAACGGCGCTACATGCGACTATAGTATCCGATACCGCGAGACAATGAGCGCGAGAGAGAGAATGAGAGAGACGGATAGAGAAAGAGGGGAAGGTTGGGGGCGAAGGTAGGAGTAGAGAAGAGAAGAGGAACGCGAGAGGAAGGGAGGCTGCGGCGGGCGGCGAGAGAAGGAACGACAGAGAGAAAGAGAAAGAGAGAGAGACGAAGTGAAGGAGACGCGTTACGGCGTGGAGGAGGAGGGGGAGTGTGGGTTACAGGAGCGTGAGAGTGTTGTTGCAAAGGCCGACAGGTCAGCGGATCACCCGGAACTCGCGCTTAGACTCCGCTGAGTTTGAACGCGCGCCGATCTTGCCTTCTTGCATCGTTTCGCTTTGCTTTGCACTCGACTCGCCTCGTCTTTCCTCTCCTCTCCTCTCTTCTTTCTCTCCTCTTTTCTCTTATTCTCTCTTTTTCCTCTCTCTCTCTCTCTCTCTCTCTCTCTCTCTCACTGATTCTCCGCCGTCTCTCACTACGTCTACGAGAAGCTTTCAGCCGGGTTACCCGACAGACTCCCGGCCGAATAGAAATTCTCCTCCGCGCCGTTTGAGCGGCCGCCGGCCGATTACGAGAGCGCGACGAGGGATTGATGAGCGTGCACGAAAAGCACGGAAAAGAGTGATGACAGATTCCTCAAAATCAGCGTCGAGCGGCCGATTTTGATCGATGGCGTGAGAATGACCAGCTGATCGAGAATGTGACATCGCGAATGCGTTTTACGTGCATTAATCTCTCCTAATCGTTTAGCAACGAATAATTTTCGCGTGATTTACCCGATCTTTTCTGTGACAACGACGCATATTTCGCACTACGCCACCACCCCTTCCCGAAGATTATCGAGATAGTTTATAATAAAATTTCTACGCACTCGATACCATTGTAATTATTTTAATAATATTAATTCTTCCCAATAAATAAGCAAATGTTGTTATTAACAACGATAACATGCAACATTTGTCGTATTTTTCATTCAATCTTTATCTAGTCCGCATTTTCAAGATATCGATCGATGTGTCGGGTGCAAGAGAAGTTGGAAGGAATTTTTAATATTGCGCGAGCGGTTGATGTAATCCTACAGTGTAAGAATACAAGGGACTCTGAACGATTTGGCTATTCGGCGTGTTTTATGCTACACTCTATACAATGTGGCCCGATCATAACGGATACTGATACGGTACGTCGAGTATCACAACGTGCGCTCTAAAATATCAAAGTATAGACGCGGCGAATTGCACAGCACGCTCGCGCATGCCGGCATTGAAGTCTCGGCCAATGGATATGAATTACTCTAAAGATAGAGTAATCGCGATACGCCGATGCCGACTCGCTTTATCACCTACCGCCATTCCTCATTTTATGAAGTAACAAATCATAACCGGGTGCAAAATGTACCTTACGTATATATCGTGTAGAGAACTTGCGCGAAATATTAAAATACGAAATAAATGCGCTTTAATACAACGCGTTGAACTTTTGGTAATTCTCGATCGCGTCGTCTTTGAATTATTCACAAACTCACATTCGACCCTAATATCTGATAAATTACATAGCGTATCCTCGCGGCTTGAAAAAACCTATCCAAATATCATATCTTCTCGCCAACATTTCGAGTCGCATCTTCGAGCGAGCGCTTCTTCCGCCGCGCGGGCGGGATTCTCCCGCAAGCGCAAGGAGTGAGCGAAGCTCGAAAGTTGCAAAAATACGTGCAAAAGTTCGCCGTTCACATACCTTGCTGAAAGTAGTTGGCTTTTCGCAGGAACACGCAGACCAAGGCCATAAGCTGCAGCTGGGAAAGCCTCTGGCGCGTCGAGGGCGGTAACGGCAGCAGGTCACGTAGATTCGCAATTTCGGCGTTTATCAAGTCCCTTCGAAGTTTGCTGGCGCCTTTCGTCGACTTGCTCGCATCTATCCTTCAAGCACACGCTGACGTTACCGTTGTGCTGCACGCGCGTACGACACGTGCGTGTCGCGCCATACGACGGACGCGACGCGGCGCGTCGTGTCGTGATCGCGACATCTTGATGTCATCGCGCTGTGAGACCGCTTGGTAGCACCCACTGTCTGTCTACACTTGAATATCCCGAGTCGAGTTCGCTGTCTCCCGTACTTCAACGAGAATCCCACCGGATTGTCCGGAAATTCCATCCTGCTGCGAATCCGCGCGATCACGAGGGTGAACTCACCCCTGGATCGGGAAACGAACGGTACTGGGGCCGAGTGATTTGCCGTTTAGTCGATTTCTCGAATCATTAATATCATTCTGGTGAGTCGCAAGATGTCCCGCGGTCTATATATCTCGAGTATCCCGCTGATCCCTCTAACATCGTACAATATCGGGGCGGGTGGTCCTCGCAGAAGTACCGGACGACAGCTCCACGACGACGACGAAGACGGGGACGAAGAGAACGATGACGATGTTGATGTCGCGACCGTAACTTACCGATTGAACATATTTCGACTGCCAGGAGGACATCAGTGGTCGATCACCGGTGGACAACGAGCGGGACATCCGGGTCGGCAGGTTCTCGCGAAACTGCGGCTACGATCTAACATCCGGGTCATAACGCGCTACTACACTGAACACGTGGATACTGGCGGAGGCTGGTTCTCCTACCACTATCAACATCAGCACTACCACCACCACCTCCTCCTCCTCCTCCTCCTCCTCCTTCTCCTCCTCCTCTTTCTCCTCCTTCTTTTTCTCCTTCTCTTGCACCACCTCCGCCTCCTCCTTTGCCTCTTTCTCCTGCTCCTGCACCATCACCTCCACCTTTATCGTCCACCTACTACTTCTTCGTCTTCGCCGCCTCTCTCCCTCTCTGTCCTTCGCTCGTTCGTACCGAGGTCCTCGCTCTTCCTCCACGCCAGGTAATCCCTCGGTCTTGCTTTTACCTTGGTTCGCTCTGTACTTTACTCGCTCGCTCCCGCAACCCGCGGCTCTTAGGTCACGATCGAGAGCGGAGTCCCTGTCCCTCTACCATCGCCATCATCGCCACCACCTCTGCTACCGGTTGCGTCTCTCTCCTCTGCATGCGGTTTCTGCCCGCGGCTCGCGACTTCGCGGCTCGACACCGCACGGGTCGGCTTGAGAAATTTTCGGGGATTATTGTGAAATTCGACCGCCAACCGGCCTGCGGTCGAACATTCAGTTGGTTAATAGAGAAGGACAAATGAAAACACAGTGCCATTAGAGTAACCGCGCATTGCGGCACGATGCGAGCGTCTAGAATTATCGAAATCGTACGGAACATTTGTTAGCCAGAATTTCGACGGAAAATGAGATAACAAAATGAAAGAAATTGAAAGAATCCTATAAAACCTTACAAAGTTATAAAAAAATATGTATATAAAGAGTCTCCCAGATCATCATTCTCAAACTTTACGAGAGCGTAGAACAGATTGAGCGAAAGGCTCATACCGTTTTGCAATATTCGCAATAGTTTTCGAAAAATTAATTTAAAAAAATCGAATAAAAAAGAAAAGTACTCGAGTCGCTGAAGTCGCTCGAGGGCTAGTGCGGTTCAGTTGGTCCAAAAATGGGAAACGGTACGCGGCAAAGGGAAGAACAAGCGCCGCTGGTCATGTTGTATCGCCGCACCGCGTCAAAGCGAGCTTTCTATCGCTTTCTATCTCTTTCTATTTTTTTTTTAATCACAGAAACTTATTATGATTTTAATGTGAGCTGTCTTGTAAAGTGATCTCCTAAATCACGAACATGCAACCGCCATCGACGCGAGCTTTGGCGAGGTGCGACGAGACGTAAGCGATGCAAGCACGGCCAGCGGCGTTTGTCCTTTCCCTTACCGCGCGCCGCATTCGTTTCTGGACTAACTGACTGCGCTAGGCCTCAAGCGACTTCAGCGGCTCGAGGACTCTTCCTTTTTTCACCTGATTTCCTGAAATTATTTTCTCAAGAAATATTGCGAATATCGCAAAATGGTATGTGTGGAACTTTTTTGTTCACTTCAATTCATTCTACGCTCTCGCGAAGTTTGAGAATGATGATCTGGGATATATATACACACAGAGTGTTCCAGATTGTCCTCCGCAATTTTTTTGGGAACATAGAACGAGTTGAGATAAATATAAAAGTTCTATACAAAATTCACAGTAATAACCGAGAAATGAATTAATAAAAGTTAAAGAAAACCATACGCTAAATGGTAGAAGAAAGAGTGCAGCGATATAAGCACAGGCAACGGCACGTTATTTTTTTACTCGCCGTACTGTATCCGCGCGCTATATTACTGGACCGTATTGCGGCTCGAGTGCTTCTCTCTCTACCATTCAACGCGCACTTTTCCTTAATCTTTTACAAATTTAATTTCTCGACAATTATAACGAATATCGCCGAACGGTATAGAATTTTTACTTCAATTCGTTCTACATTCCCACACGTAAACCTCGCCCTTTTTGTCAGAGTCTCATTATCATAATTTTTGTCAAAGTTGCCGCCCACTGAATTTTGTCCATTTTTCATACATATAATAAAGTAAAAATTCCTATACCTTACTTGAAGCTGAGTCGTTTTAATTGAGAATAAAAAATGTCTGACTTGTTATGAAATTGTACTATAACAGACTTTTGCATAACGCATAAGGAAATCAACCAATCAGAGTCCTTCATTGCCAGCATGAGGGTGGAAATAAAGAATTCTGATTGGTTGATTCCCTTGCGTATCTTGCACTGTTAGTTCCAATCACAATAGGTGTAGTAAGCTTTAAGCCTTAAGAAATTGACCAATCACAATGAAATTATAGAGGAATAATCAATTATGATTGGTTAATTTTTTACGGCTTAAAATTTACTACACTTATTGTAGATCGGGACTTATGCAAAAGTTGTGCCCAAATCTTAAATCTCGATTGAGAATGGTGGCGACTCGTAGTGGGAACTTGTTAAAAATTGTTTAGCTAATATTCGAACTATTTAGCAGAAATTCAAACTCGCGTCACCTAGGTTCATCGCAGCACTACTAGATGGCGACAGGCAGCCTATTGACCAATCGGAACAGGTCCAGTAAGTAAGCCCATATCTGATAGACCCGTTATTTTATATTTTTATAAAACCGACAAGTATTGTGGTTGTTCGAGAAGCATTTTACAGGTTGACATTTCTAGTTTTTAGACACGTTAAATTAATGACATTATTGCTGTTCTCCACGAATATATATTGGGTTAAGTGAGAAATTCTGACATAACAATGAATCGCGTGTTGAACAATAATTATTTTTTAATGCAAACTTTGTAACATTGAATTGTAAAACTATCAAACGTAAGAACTAATCAAATTTGGAAACATCGAACGGCAACAATCGATTCTTCAACACAGTGAGAATCGAGTATCGATTCGGCAGTCGAACAGCAGCCATATATATATATCTATAACTCGAAGCAGGCTGATGGCGTGGCCGTTGTCAGCATACTTGGCTGTATTCATTCTACAGTGAATGCCTGAAGAGGTTGCTACTTGCAAGAAAATGACGGCGCACGATCAAATGCGAGCTATGCTCGACCAGTTAATGGGCACAGGACGAAATGGTACTCATTTATTTGCTTCTTCATCGATCTCCGCGTTAACGATAAAAATGTATTGTGCTTTCATGAAACGAGCCCAATGGATATCGCAAACGGTTTAATTCCGCAGCCATATTCTCGGACTATCATAATGGTGCTACCCTCTATGTATCTCTCTTGTGTATCCCTGCGTTCGTATTATTAATCTGATCTGTTTTTTTTTTCAGGGGAAAATAACAAATTTCAAGTGAAATACTCCGATTCGAAAGTCTGCAAGAGTTTTTTGCTGGCCTGCTGTCCGCATGAAATCCTGTCGTCGACGGTGAGTAATTTCTGGATCAGAGGCACACGAGACACATGAACGACACACCATTGGCACTTGTGCGCAGATAATGCACCCTGTATCATACACGTGAATAATTTTTTCTCATTTTTTAATCGATATGCGAGGAGAGAAAGTAAAGGTCATATTTTATCTCCATATATCTGTTTTATTTTGTAAGACTTCTGTTTATACTGGTTACACGATTCACTCTGATCATTTCTTTGGTCGCTGATACTGTGTTACTAAAAAAATGATGGAATTATTATTGATTAAGATTATGGATTTATGATCAGCTGCACATACACTTAATTACATGATTGGGATTTAAGTGTTTAAGTGTACCGATAAATTGAGGCATATTAAAGATGGTACACAGTGAATAAAAGTAAAATGAATACTATTGATTACTCATTTCTGAGATTACTTTTAATCTTATATTGGAAAAGATTTTTATATTTAAAATATGAGATCAGTACAAACATAATTTATTAGCACAATCGTGTAATCATACTGATTGTCGCAGTATGTATCTTTTGAACAGTTGAATATCTATTTATTTCTCATATATATATTTTTCATATATACACAACACACATGTACAAAAAGACTATTCACCAAACAATCTGTATGCACAACTAACATTTATTGTTTAAATAAGCAAACGAAAAATGATATAGAAGTTACAAAATCAATATTGAGCAGTTTCTCAAGTTCGTATGGGACATGCTTACATTCTCTTTTTCGTTTGTATTACGTTATAAATAAGATACATATTTCTTGATTCCTTCAAAAATTCGGAGACAATTTCTTCTCAAAAGATCGACATAAATTCAGCATACAGCATTCAGTTGCATCATATGCATTTTGCGACTTGATAGTGGAATTAAATATCCGTCAGTCTACAGTTACATCATCATTACGTTGTGCCGGCTTATTTCCTCCGATATAGCGTCTATTTATCTGTGCTCACTGAGTCAAATCGTGTACATGATAAAGTCTACGTTAATGGCATAAAGGGTGCTAAATTGATAACGGAAAATAGCGTCTGTACTTTCATAACAGCTCGTCGCGATCCAAATGCACACTCATTTAACATCGCTATGCATCGTCACACGCGCGTACAGACACACACAACACACATCGTACAGTTTCTATATCTATATATATATATATATGTCTTATATTTAATGTTAAGTAGAATACGTTTAATGATACGTTTGTAATGTAGAAATCGAGAGAAGCATATGCGCACATATATACATACTGAATATTTTTGCGAGTCGTCGCTCCAACAACGCGAATCTCCGTACATATTGTCGAGACATCGTTACATTCCAGTAATAAAAACTAGCAAGTGTCACGCGTACAGAGAACGACTGAATAAAGACGGTAGAAGATGTGCGAGCTGTGTGGTGCACGACGTTAGATAGATTTGTGCGTTCGATTGTACACCAAGGCGTTTATTTTCACCCCTTTTCTCACCTGTGCCAATCGGTGTGTCAAATTCGGTATCGTTGAGCGCTCGTTGAGAAAATCGTATAGATTATAAGATAATAGACCTTTGACCGAATTTACGTAAGCGAACGTATCACGGGGGAACGAGCAGTTAGCACGTAAAGAAGCGTTCTAATCCCATTTTCTGCCCCGCGCGACGACACGTGTCGACCTCGGGGATGGACATCACGATCGATTCACACTGGATACCGTCAGAAATGCGACACACGGGGACGGGCGTTTTGTCAAACACACATCAAGTCCCGATTGTGATTAGAACAGCTGATGTGAATTGCGTGGCTCGTGCAGAACGGAGAAGCGAGAAAACGGCATGTCCTCCGCATATCCGTCTCGCTCTCTCCCTCTGTCTCTCTTTCTCATTCTTAAGATCTTAGGATTCTTCTCCTGTTCTCGAGCCACGAAACGACGTTGCTCGTTCTAATTTTTTATCCGTTCATACTAAATATATATATGTATGCGTACACTGAGAGAGAATACTTATATATACCGAGAGTGTCCGACAATTCGTTATGGAGCAGCTGCGGGTAGAACAAACTGTGCAGGTAGAACAAATTGAACACAAAATTCTTCTACCATTTCGCAAACAACCACATCAAATTTTGTCATTCACAGAAGATTGATGAATGATCACGTGTGCTCGTGCATTAAATCAAACTGAAGAAAATGTTCTCTATTTTGCAAATTACCAAATTGGCGGAGGACTTTTTTCTTCAGTTTGACCTGATGTATTAGCATGTGACGATAGGTGTGGCCATGACAACTCGTATTACATACACACACACACGTGATCGTTCACCAATTTTCTCTGATCAATAACTCAAAATTTTACAGGCTTATTTATGAAATATTAGAGGACTTTTGTGTTCGATTAAATTCTGCCTGTACACCGCGGCTACTGCATAATGACTTGTCGGACACTCTGCGTATACACACTGCAACCCTCTATCGCAGTAAAATTGGGAAGCGCTCAGGCGACTGTATAAGTATGGCTTATAGGTGAAAGGCATCGTCATGGTGCGTTGCATGCGGTCGACCGAGCAACATTATCGGACATTGTACTGCCGCGCTTTGATTATCGATCGCACGCGGCTGTCAACCACGCGAGTCGCTAACGCAATGAAACGTTAATACCGCTTCGCTCATCTAGGTGTCATATCCCGTGCGAATCGGCCAAGACGAGGGTGTTTGCTACCACGCCTCGCCCGCATTCACCTACATAAAGCTGTCTAAACTGCTCTCACGTCACCCTCCTACCGCATCTCTATTTAACACGTGGAACACCGTCGCACTCACTGTTACTGACCGACATTATGACATCACCGCGTCTCATTCACGTTTACGTATAAAGTGATTAGTTAAATGTGCAGTTAAGTGTGTAATCACACTTGAAACATGAGACAGGAGACAGCAAAGTGAAGTAAGATATGTACTTCGAATTGTATTTATTTTTAGCGTTTTTTTTCGGCAATTCATTCGTTATTTTCGTACAATCTTGAAAAACTAATGCGGCGGGTAATCTTGCAGCGTTAAAGGCTCATCTCGCGAGAGATCGAACGAAAATCAAGAACGCGCGTGCGGGCATTCTCCGAAATCGTGTCGAGTCGTCGTGTCTATGACGGGGTCTACGGGGAAATAGTTGGGAAAATGTTTATCTCCTCTTTCGCGTCAGGCAAGCTACTTGATCTGCGGAAAGTTTCCCGCTTGAGAAATAACGCCGAGCGGCACGTGAAAATTGTCCTTTAATTTTTAATCGGACAGTGTTCTCAATGTCGTTCGCAGATGCGCGGGAATTTGCATAAGTATCCGCGCACTTATGCGAATTGTTGCCGAGCGCGCGTCTGTTACCGACGTTGATCGATGTCGGAGGATCCCGGTGAGTACTTGAAGGGTTTACGGAACGACTCTTACAGAAAACGCCACGAAATTGGTGATTAATCTCGTCTCTCTACGGTGGGTGGATTTATCGTCGACCGATTAATACGTTCCCCCCTGCGCCGAAGTAGATGTGACGCATCCCCTGTATCTCGAAAATTTATTTCGAAACACGCGTCCCATACTACTTGTTCCTCGTCGGTGAAGATACGACGTTAATTAGATTCTACATATTAAAATGCGTAGTCTACTCGGGCAAGATAAAAATATCTAATGCGCATTTCCTAAAGCGGCAAAGTATACATACATGGTGTCTATGATTGCTTCTTCTTTCGGTATCGTCCTCATTTTCGGCCAGCTGAAAATCATTGCAAACTCTGCTTCCTAACATGTGGATAGTAATTTTTAAATTTACAGATAGATACTCTTGATACGAGATTGTACAAATACCGTCTTACTCACTTACCTACTAAGAAAATATGACTTGGTTTTAAAAAGAATAACAGATGATATTGATAGAGTTGCACATCTTTGAAATACGGCTCGAACAGTGAGAGGTAGCAAACGTGAGGTAGCAAACACTCTTGGTGGTCTTTCGCGACAGGATTTCCCACGACACCACGAAATTTCGAAAGCAAAGACGTCAATAGAGAAATAAATGATAAAAATAGAAAGACAAAAAGAAAATTTCTTAAAGAAAAATAAAGAGAAAAAAAAAGATTTTACTAACGGAAGTCGCTCAAATGTAAAGCACCGCAATGCAGATCCACTAATGTCAACGTAACTACAGTTCTATTTCCAGAGTCTCTGGAAAAAGCAATTCCAATCAGATCCATTGTACAATATTGTTGCGAGTATTGTCCGCTCACATATGTCCGTGTTGTACTTGTCACTCTCACACGCGCGTTACTGTAAGTACTGAAAACGAGAAGAGGACGTACGTATTACATCTACAATTTGATTTACCTTTACAATAATAATTCAAATACTAAGTATACATATATATATATACATATATATGCGTATCTATATACATATATATTTTAATTCGATATACATATATATATATATATACGTAAAGGCGGGTAACCTCAGCCCCTCTACCGATTTTCCACACGGTGGTGAGGCTGAGTGCCGAATGTAAATTCCCAGACCCCCCGAAAAGGCCTGTAAAATTCGGTGAGTAGAGCGTCATACTGATTCAATGAGACGATGTCTTAATTGTCGCTTCTTACTAATAATGCCGTTTACGGCAGGTAGGAATGAAGTTTACTTTGAGAATGTGTGTGAGCAAAAAATATATATCATCCTATGGAAGTATGTGGGTGCAAGAAAATGAAGCAGTGATCTGTAAGTAAGACTTTGCGAATTGCCAAGAACTTTTCGCGCGCGCACGCGCGTACGGTAACGATGTTCCGTCGGAGACCGGAAGAAATCTCGATTGTCTTCCTGTCCTCTCTCTCTCTCCGGCTTTCGACGTTTCGAAGAAAACGAGCGAGTTGGTCGATGCAGCTTCATGCGGCGGGCGTTTTCCCTCGCACGTGTGCCTCGTCTTCTCTTTAACGATTATCGCGCGTCTCCGACTACGGATATAAATAAATACTTGAATAAATAAATGAGGCGTCTTTAACAGCGCGAGTCTTTAACAAAACGCATCGCGTCATCCTGTCGAGATATCGATTTTTTTCGCCGCAGTTCGAGTCCTCCGGGGGGGCCTCTACCGTTTCGCGCGAATCGCGATGCCTTTGGCAATTTGCAACGGCCGAGGTGTCGACAAGAGAAAAATTGAGAGTTGGCATGACGCAGAGAGACGTGTGTGATTAGGCGGATTAGCACGACGTTGCCAGTTCCATTAGAAAAATTTCCTCCAACACTGGACGTGTGTACGTATTGAATCCGTATCTTTCTAAATCCGTTTAGCAGCCAACGTAAGAGAGAATTCGTGCCGTACGTAAATAGCATAATCAACCATTATAGGCTGTAAGTTCTTTCGTAGAAAAGTGAACATTATGAACTTAAGGTGTATGCTGATTATAGCTTCATTGCCATCGCATTCTCGTGTCAGGCGGAGAACTGTTGCCACCCTGTAAGTGAAAACAACAAACTATATTATCTGTACAAACTGTATTTCTACTTTATACCACGCGACTACATACTATAGATCGACTGACGATCGTTGAATCGCCTCAATCGTACATTTTGTCTAATCCGTGCAGGAAGACAAATTGACGCGTTTCCGTTAAAAGTAAAAAAAATATATATATATATCAAATGAAATGAAACGAAAGAAAGAGACAATATGTCTATTGGACTGTTTTTCATCCTAAGAGTATACAGGCGTTACAAGCTCGAAAATTTTTGTCGTGTATAATCTGTCTATCTGTCTCTATCTCTTTCCTTCTCTCTCTTGCCTCCTTCTCTTTTTTATTTCTCTCTCTTCTCCCTCTTCTGCTCTCTCTGCTTTCTCTCTCTCCTCTCCTCTCCTCCCTCCACCCTCTCTCTCTCTCTCTCTCTCTCTCTCTCCCCCCCTTTTAGATTATCTATTCGAGCAAATTTCTAGTCGCGGCAACGCGACCGAGTAAGTTATTCTTGCTAAATAAGAAATCTCGTAAATACAGAGCTGGGGAGGGTCTAACTAGAATAATCATAATAATGATGATATGCGTAGAATTTATAAGGCCCTGTATAAACGAAGGAACGTACTTTAATACAATTCGATTTGTAAATGTCATAGCGCATGGACCTGGGAGAATGCCCCCAGATTCACGACTTGGCCCTACGGGCTGACTACGAGGCTGCGCAAAAGAAGAAAGATCACTTTTACGACATCGACGTGAGTATCGTCTCTTTAAAGTTACGATCATTATCAGCTTATTAACATTATTAACTTTGAAAGTAAAAGACCTAATGTGCGATTTGAATAGTTCAGTTATTTTTTGCTACAAAAGTTTGAAAAATTGCAAACATTTCGGACATTACTGTTCTAACGATTAATCTTTAGTGGACATTAAGTGTCCTCAAATTTACATAACGTTTGTCTTTTCAAATATCCAGGCAATGGAGCATCTTCAAAGCTTCATCGCCGACTGTGATCGCCGTACGGAGCAGGCCAAGCAGCGTTTGGCGGAAACGCAGGAGGAGCTGAGCGCAGAGGTGGCGGCGAAGGCGAACAACGTCCACGTGCTCGCCGAAGAGATCGGTAAGAAACTAGCCAAAGCCGAACAACTCGGCGAAGAAGGCTTCGTCGAAGAGTCCATGAAGCTGATGGGCGAGATTGACGAACTGCGCAAAAAGAAGAACGAAGCAGAGCAAGAATACAGAAATAGTATGCCAGCATCAAGTTATCAACAGCAGAAGTTGAGAGTATGCGAAGTGTGTAGTGCGTATCTTGGCATACATGACAACGACAGACGTTTAGCCGATCATTTTGGTGGCAAACTGCATCTGGGCTTCATCAAGATCCGTGAGAAGCTTGCAGAGCTTCAGAAGACCGTGGAGGAGAGGCGCAAAGAGAAACGCGAATCCTTGCTCGATAGAAGACGAGACAGAGACAGGGAGGACCGTGACAGAGATCGCGACAGATCGGACAGGAGAAGCGGAGGATTGGGCTACAGAGATCGCGACCGAGACCGTGATCGGGATCGTGACCGCGATCGTGATCGGGATCGTGACCGCGATCGTGAACGCGACAGAGATCGTGATCGCGATCGCGATCGCGATCGCGACAGGGAGCGTGAACGCGAGCGCGATCGCGACCGAGATCGCAGAGATAAGGACAAGAAAAAGTCGCGATCCCGAAGTCGCAGTCGTGGAAAAAGGTTTGCTGATCCTTTACGTCTTTCTAAAAACAACGCGAAAAATTGTATTTGCTAGTGATATGCTAATGTTTCATGCACTTTCAATCCATATAAAAACTAAATTTCTATATACTACTTACGTAATTACTTGTCTTGTTGTTCCAGCAATAATGACGCATTCTGTTTCAGATCAAAACGTTCGCGCAGCGGTAGTCACAGTCGTCGATCTCGTTCCCGTCGTAGCGGGTCCAACGATCGCAAGAGATAAGAAAAAAGTTATATAATAATTATGCTCAATCAATCACTCTTTCTGAATTTCCCTTTTTTGTCTCTTATTTCCTTTTTCCCTGCTCCTTTTTTCTCCTTCTTCCCAGCGCTCTATATGTGTACACATCTTGTACATGTAATGTGTAACACCAAACCGTGTGCACATGAAGCATTCATATTGATTTTAAAAAATCGTCTGCGCTAAACCTGGTGTTTCGCGTCTCTCAACGTAATCATTGTATATTACTTGATACCTAAGTGATACAAACCCAACTTTATTTATACTAGAAATTATTACTTCGAATATTGAATTCAATTTAGGTATTAATCAATCTACAATGTACTTTTTCTTTTAAATTAGTTTTAATCTATCTGTAAATAAGAGAACAGCTTAAATATGTCATGTATTTGCGGTTGTTATATGTTAATCACATGATCGTAGATGTAGCGATGATATAAATAATAATAATAATAATACATTTCAGCATAACCGTTGTATTATTCACGACCATACACACATGTATACAGAAGATAAATATATTGGAATTTTCCAGCGTAATTTAAAAAGTTCGTTAAATAACAAAATTTAATTTTTTCTACAATTAAAGATATCTTATTCGTGTCGTGTCTTATTAGTAGCTTCTGGTGTGTACGACCAGAAGCCTACCGATAGGCCTTTGAGTAACGACTTTGGTAAATTATATATTAATGGAGATATAATCCAAGAAGTGGTTCAAGTCTTTAATCTCTTGCGAGAATCTCTTTAACACCTATCCATTATTTTTATAACTGGAAGTTGTGCTTATGATTATTGGATAGATGAATTTCAACCGAAGAGAAATTAAAATAATGTTCAACAATAATTCAAATTCACTAAAATATCAGAATATTTTATTGGTCGCAGCACAATGAAACTTTTTACACAGCTAAATTTTCTCAGGATATTATCATATTTCAAACGGACGACGTATGCGGACTAGAAAAATAATTTACATCGTATGTACAAAAGGTCAAAATCGCAATAAAAGTCTTTACAAAAGAAGAAATATTGGAGAACCAGACACCATTATATTAATAGAGTATTGGTATTTTGAGTAATCGCGTACTTACAAAGTATTTGGTAATGTAGAATAGAAAAAAGATCTCCGTACACGGTGATCTATAGCAGTTGCCAATTTTTAATCACATTGATTAATTCCTCATAAAGATATATTATTTTATATATTCAAGTATTTTCATGTTATAAAATTTCACTTATATCAAATACGATAAAAAAAAATAAAAACTAAAAATACTGCAATTAAACATCGTTCTAAATACTGTTATCATACGAACATTAAAAATTCGACTCTTATTACATATTTCATAAATAGGATAGTCTCCTAACTTTTGCATACTCGATGTGTTAATTTAAGTCTTAGTACCTCTGGTATTATGTAAAACTTGGCAGACGCAAAAGTACCAAATATTCCAATAAACAAACACATCTGTAATTATAATTAACTATTTACATATTTAATATATTAAGGAACGACAAAAATATACTATTTCGCGTATAATAATTGAAAAAACAATTATTAAAATAAAGTGATGTTAAAATAAAACATAATTATACTTAACATATAAGCAGAACGTTGCTGATAAATTTCATTTTCAAAAAGAAAAACAATCTTCATAAAAAAAGAACTACAAAAAAATTCTCCAAAATAAATAATGTATTTCGTTAAACCGCCGACTAGCATTTGTGATAACATCAAATTTCTATTCTTCTGTGATTACAAAATTGGCAGCCGCCATGTATTCCTCCTTACACCTAAAGTCATCAAGGCACAATAAAAACCTACAATATTCATAATCAAGAAAACAGAAAGACTAATCATAATCTTACATTTAACGGTCATTATTGGACAGTCTTAAAAGTTGCATTGAGGTCGCTCAGAGTTCATCCAAATTCGACTAACTTAGAAAAACGAGAGCGGTTATCGCTGTCACTCTCGTATCTCTTATCATGTGCTTACCCGCCCACTTTAATTAGCTTGAACGTCGTCGTCGAAATTAACCGCTTCCGTAGCTACTTCGGGAAGAGGTGGGGGAGGCAAAGGATTATTATTACTACTCGGCGATATCGATGATACTGATCGCTGTACTGGTGATTTTGGAGATTTATCATCCACTTGTGCTGGACATTCAAAATGTACACAGTGAAACACCTGGAAGCACAACCCTTGTTTGCTAATTGTACATTACATCCTGTATAATAACATATATAAATAACTAATTTAATCAGGTATAAAGACCTCGTTCGCAGTATTGTGTGTCCCCACTATACGTATGTAAACAACTGGACGAGGTGGATCAATATATACTGTTTGCCAAGATCGACAGGACTCTCTAGTTTTGTCGGCAACTACTGACCAGTCCCAGGTGTTGCCCGCTACTTCTATATAATACGAGTACGAACGATTATCGCAGTCCCAAAGCAATAATCTGTGAATATAGTCATGTGTGAGTACATTGCGTCGTGCGAATTTTACGCCCATTCTATGCGCAATCACTCAACGATGGTTGCGTGATTATCCGTGAGAACGTTGAGCAATAAATTTAACATCGAGTGATCTCACATGGAATGGCTTTTGAACGACATAATAAAACATAAAACTGTACCGCATAGAATGTAGCATATATGGTTGTCCCAATTGCACCAGAATAGACCCGGAACCCAGTTGATGGCACGTGTAACCACTGTCCCAATCGTAATTCGACGTATCGCCATTCAATAAATTATTACGTATTCTAGTTAACATCGTTAAATAAATGTTTAAATAATTAGAAACATATATTTATATGTATTCGATATAGCTTTGAAATATAGCATATTTCGTCTATTTACCTGCTCACACCCTCTATAACGCATGCACTTTTTTCTGTAACAGCGACATTTCGCGTCGGTACAACAAAACCGTCGCTAAGTTTCTCAGTATGATTTGTGTAGTACGCTTCAAAATTGACAACGTGAAAAACCTTGCGATCGAAATAACAAGGAACATTTCACTAGATGTCGAACTAACGTGATAAAACGAACAAAAGTAATTCTATATTATCGAAGGACTTACCCTATTCACTGTGTTATTTGTTCCTACGATACGTATATAAAGAACTACTCTTGGTTCAAAATATAGATATTGCCAACTGCGGCAAAAATAATCCGAATAATCGACTAATTTGACCCAGTCCTTCTGATCCATGGATCCCTTCAACAGAAAACAAATTGATGGGATGAAAAATCGGTTCGTTAAAGATGAAAATTCAACGTTACATTGCAGAATATGACATACTTCTATGTAATACGAATACGATCGCATATCTCGATCCCACAGTAACATTTTCACACTATTTATAATACATTGCGTTCCCAACTTAATTAAGATGCCCTGTTCTGGCGACTCTGTTATAGTGTGTCTCGTGTAACCACGCTCCATATCATAGTTGAGGACATCTCCGTTTAACAGGTAACTACGCATCTCTCCTTGTAATACCTGAGCACCGTGCATTGAATGAGCAACATTATCATCGACAAGTAAACGGCCACGGTACTCGAGTTCCGAATCGCGCGTTTGCGTCCGCGCAGATATCGCGTCTAAAATCGCTTCTGACGAAACCAATCCAGTTGGCCTCACAACATTCAAAAGATCCGTGATCGAAATTAGACTCAATCTTAACTGAGCTGCAAAGTTCGAAATAATTCATACATACTCAATCCAATACAGAGAGAAAATAACCCACAATTAATTATATAAGAAATTGTTTCCCTGATAAAATCAGCTATCTTCTTATATGTTGTAGCTTATAACTTCCTGATATCAAAAAATGTAACAAGTTCAAAGCTAAATAATGGACAGAGTTATGATATAGTATATATTTATATATAGGATCATATAAGTCACATATGAAACATGTGAAATTTCTCCTACGATCAATAAAAATATTAACTTTTCTATAAGATTTTTGATTCCCAAGTGTTCCCAAACAATACAGGCATAGCCTGAATTTTACGTGTTTAACTGGTTGTAGTTCAGTAATTCTGTTATTTTGCTTTGAGTCTATTCCATCTTTTTTCAGCAAATCATAAGCTATAACCTATAAGAAAACCAATTGATTTTATCGAGAAACAATTTCCTACGTAATTAGTGTGAAGTTTTCTGTCGTCTCAGTTTTTCAGGTAAAACTTACATAAAACTTCACTTGCGTTAACATCAGGATTGGCTTTGACCCACATCTCTACTGCCAAGAAGATATCTATCTCCGGTGCATAGAAGGAATCTCTGGAAATTAATTTCTTTAAAGCTTCTGGACTTAATTGTAAAAAGTTTTCATGTTGGATAACCTCAGGTGCATGTTTATCCATGTATTCGAGGCAAACCTAATAGTAAAATATATAATAATATAGTATGAATGTACAGGATATCTGATGCAAGATATACAAAACCATGTGTAAAGGTAGTGCCATCTTTTATGAGATCTTGTGCTTATAGAAATCAGTGTGTATAGTACTAACCCTAGTCAGGAATTCCAACTGATATAAAAAAGCAGTGTCGATAATTAAACATACATTCTTTATACTAAGTATTTCTCTGAGATAGTCAGATATAGCAGCCTCAAGGTCTAGAAAACCATATAAATGCGCCAGCCCAAGGGTATCAAGGATCACCTGTAAAAAGAACCTGTATGAGAACAAAATATTCTCCATATATTCTTTAGCAATTTGAGTTTAGTTCAAAAGAAACACACCTCATCACGTTCATTGGTGAGAGACATACGACCAGTGTATATATACTTAAGTAAACCTTTAAATGCAGGCAATGTAGCGCTTGGCAGTTCTATTACATTTTGCATGGATTCTCTCATACCACCAAACAGCAGAGCTCGAAAGTACTCGCTACGTGCGGCAAGAATAAGTTTGTGAGTATTGAATTTTTGACCCGCCACCACCAATGTGACATCTGAATAGTCTTCACTGCGATACAAAGCGCCGACGTCTTCAGAGACAAAGTGAATATGATCTATTTCGCCAGATGATGGATTCAAGTGGTGATGCGAGCTCATTTTCGGTGGTTGTTTACACACTCGCAAAGTCACTTCACTGAAATGGGAAGGAGATTAGGTTACTTGTTGTGTTCGCATGAGTAGATTTTGAAAGCGGCATTTCGACTTGTTAACAATGTTACAGTGGATAAATGTACTATATTAAATTGCAATTTACATTTTATACAACAATGAACGAATGAACAATGACAGAATGACACAATATCAAACTTTCTGCTTCCTAATACGCATACAAGAATCTCGTGACCTCGCTCGAAATTGAAGAGAAACGAATGTGGCAAGCGGAAATTTTTCAATTTTATATACGATATTATAATTTACCGAATGAACACGGCTACTGCTACTCCACTCTCTTATCCAGGATACATGTGAAAAAAATCGCAATAGTTTTCACAGACTTGTTTGTGTTACGTACCCGTACTATCGAATTATCAAGAAAACTCATTTGATTGTTCTTGAATGAGGGCTTTCACACGCGACTTTCAACGCTGCACGCCCTCTGTCATGACGCATACAAACTACATATCGCAAGTCAATAACTGAACGTCGATAAAGTCGCGAGTTACCTTCCGATCAATGTCGCTTTCTAATACTTTCTCCTTCGATTCTCTTGTAACTTCCCTTTTTCTCCGACTCCTCCATACACACCTGTCTCATTTTAATTGAAGAAAGCGTAAGACTACTAGAAAAGAAAGCTCTTGCGAGTCGAACTCAAGGACTCCATGCGCCATAGAAACGCGCTTGCAGGCAGCGACAATGGCGCCTCGCGGCGGTGTTAGCGGTTACGGTTTAAGCAGCGGCAACCGGATGGAATGTTCAGTTGGAGAGAAAACGTTGAGTACCGCGCACAGTGCCGAAGGAGGAGGAGGAGGAGGAGGAAGAGGAGAAGGAGGAGCAGCAGCAGCGAGTGGCGCGAATCCCGTATGCGTTATGTCGGAACCACTGCCAAAGCAACGGTATTTCCCGCGGCGACGAACGGCCGTCATCCTGGTCGGCTAGGACTCGAAGGCGATTACCCGCGTTGTCCGTCGCGACAACGAGAGACACGCTACGAATCCACCGGCAGAAACGTCCGAGAAATCAGCGACGGCCGCCGGATAAGCGCACGCGGAACGAACGCGCAATGCACGGCGCGACGTTGCGGTGCGTGATGTCGAACGTCGTCGTGGTCGGAGAGCTACTCTAAAACGGAGTAGCTGCTTCTCTCGCCTGCGGCAGTGACCTGTACGCCAGCCGGGTCAGGTGGATCGTCAGGCAGGCAGGCAGGCAGACAAACAGGCCGGCCGGCTCCATAGCACCCGGACGGACAAATCGACAACCACACGTGCTGCATCTGAGAACCACGTGAGTGAGTGCACGCCAGGAAAGCATGAAAGCAGTGCGAAACTTGCTAAAAGTGACTAAAAGACATTTTGTCCGTGCTCTATGGATACAATCATCACGCGCGTCACGCAAATTTCGCACTGTGCGACCAGTAGAAATGTATTCTATACAGCAGAAATGTTCAAAATATATCACTGGGATATCGCAACATCTCTAGGATAACCTCGTGATGTATTTTGAACATTTCTGCTGTATAGAATATGATAAATAGCGAGCGAGAGATTCGATCTCGTATATAGACTGCGGTTGCATGCTAATTCTGAGAATTCCCCAGTGAAATTAACTGCCTACTTCGGGATGTATGAGATATCAACAAAACGTCGATGCAATGTAAACAGGCCAATGGCTGATTTATAAAATAATCTGACGCGCAAATTCATTTCCGTTGAGATGAAACCCACCTCAAATTAATTCCGAAATTTGATTTTGTGAGAACTTTTTTTATTGGCGGAACCGAATCAGAACCCTAGGTTCCGAATTTACCAGTTAAATTCGATATATTGCATTCTAACGAATATATATGATATATATATATACACACACACACTTTGTCGGAATGCAATATCGAGTGTATATGTGTATGTCTCTCTCTCTCTCTCTCTCTTTCTCTCTCTCTCTCTCTCTCTCTCTCTCTCTCTCTCTCTCTCTCTGTGTGTGTGTGTGTGTGTGTACGTATATAAAATAGGTTAAATAAAAATTTAATACACTTCGATCACGCGTGCAACGGTAGGCTTTGGGAAGAGAGTGAGTGGAGTTGTATGTAAATGGTGAAAATTAAAAATTCGACAGATATTGATTGACGTGCTTGCGGATACGAGATTACACGGAGGCGGAATGTCAATATTTGTTATTTACACGCAGCGTTATTAGCTTGAGTAAACTATAATCGCGCGGCATGTTACGGACATTGCTCGATTGTTCGTGTGGCTTTTAACAATCGTTCAACCGGTATCTCTCGATCGTAGAACGAGTCGCCGGTGAGTCTATGAACAACGGGTGAGAAAATCCACGGCGTATTATATACGTAATGTGAATTATGCATCTCGCCACGTTTTCCGGGAACTATCGAGGGGAAATAAGCTTACGCTTAATTTACATTTTTTCCCTCCTCTTCTCTTCTTGCTAAACGCTTCATTAGCCTCGCACTCGTTTGCGCGAGAGAAGGACGTCGCTTGCATAAGTGCAAATAACGTGCGGACGGATGTCGACGGGAGTAGTAGAGTTGCGTGGAAAATAATTAAAGCAATGACGCTTGTAAGTTCCATGTAACGGGAGAGACGGTTTAAGGAGCGAGCTCAACGCTTTCACAGGGGTGGGTATTAATCTGACGAAATAACATGAGTAACGCGTATCGGCGGGGAATAAGTCAAACAGAAGTTTGATGTAGCGACGGCGACGTGTGGAACATTATACGGCTATAGTTTGCGACGGGAGAACGCGAAAGTTTCGAGAGGAATTTCACCAAGCTCTGCTGCCTTCCTCTCTATCTATCTATCTATCTATCTATCTCTCTCTCTCTCTCTCTCTCTCTCTCCTCCCTCTTTTTCTCTCTCTTGATACCTTAAAAGGACTCGAAGTCCCGCTCACACCGAGAATACGGGTCCTTTGTGCGATCAAGTAAAAGAGTACTTCTAGATAGCTTAAGTAGTTACGAAGTGAACGATCCGACGTAGAGTTAATCCCGTAAGGACATTACGCCGTAAACCCCTGTTGCAAATCTTTGAAGGCATTTTCTCAATATGCGACAGCACTCTGGAAATACGTAGTCATCAGTCTTCCGCTTGTGGAAAATGTCTTCAATTTAAGAATGATATATCTGTACTTTGAAGAGAAGACTTAATGTCTATTTTCTCTATTATTAATTGTGAAAAATTGCTAGATCTCATTGACGTTGCAAAATAGCTCTCATTTACGCTAATTATATCGAGCAACTGATATTTATTTATTAAAGAATAAGATTTACGATTGGCAGTGAAAACTGTTAAATCTTGAAACATTTATTTTGATGTTTTTCACTAGAAACATGGAAAATTTTCTAACGGCACGCTTTAATTCCTAAAATATAAATGTCTTGTATAAAATGAGAGGATTCTGCAGAATGTCTGTTCCTCGGTTAAAAAATTCTTTAGGGATTTTTGCTATTAAAATTCTTTTATAGAAGTATAAAATATATTAAAATTCTTTATAGGGGAATTTTTGCTATTAAAATTCTTTTCGCGTAGAAGCGCGGATATTGGTTGCTTTTGCTTCGAGATACAGACGCGAGTATACAGTTTGGGCGTGTTATTACCGGGATGCCAAACCTGTCTATACAAATGCACTTGAAAAATTTTGACTGTTATCCTTGACATTTTTTTTTATCGTCAAGGGTCGATTGCTGCATCAGTCCCACGCACATCATCGATACCTCCCGAAGTAAAACAAGCAATATCGTTCTGCGGCTTGGGAGTGAAGGCAGGAAATGTCGTGGGTTCAGATAGAGGACATTTACCTTTCTAACTCCAAGCCGCGAAATGATATCGGCTGTTCCAGTTCTCTGATATCGATTTATTCGTACAACTCCTTTACTTATCAATGGCGGATACATCGATGCACGTGTGGAGTGTATTGTTTACATACTTGAATCTGCTTCATAAATTCCGTATTATCTGAGAAATAGTTTAATGAAACATTTTTGTTTCGACTTAAATCCAAATGTAGGGCAAATAATGCTCACATATATGCGATTACGAGCTTTGATATAAAAGCTTGATAATATTCTGCTTTTAAATTTCTGTGAAAGAACGTCTCTTACACTGAGAGAGAAAATGTCTGAAAAATAAGAGATATTTATTTGGTGGGTACTAATAACATATTTACTTAAATCAAAATTCTTTTATTTGAATAGAATAAACAGTTGCTTTCATGAAAAGCTAAAATTTTAAGAGAATATATATTTTCGTACTTGAAAAATATTTTATATTAATACAAATAAATGTTATTGGCACATCAAATAAATATTTTTTTTATTTCTTAGATATACTTTTTCTCAATGTAACTGCAATATTCATAAATTTATATTTACGCTACAGGAAAAGAAGGGTATCGAATAATTCCATTTGTGCTATTATTGTCCAAACATTAAAAAATTGAATGTTTTCGAACAGTGCGCCGCCGCATTCTAATTTTGTAGAGAAACTACTAATTGTGCTCGCTGCTCTTACGATGTAAAAGCTCGTTGTTCTTTTTTGGCTTATCGTATTCTTTTCGCACAATCTCTTCATAGGCATTCTCCCCTTGAAATTCGAGGCAAAATGCCGCCGTTTTCCATTGCGAACGTCGAATGGAAGCACTTAGCGAACATGTGAAAAGAGGCTCGGTTGTATCTGTATTTGTAATAGGACACCGAAAGAGAGAGAGAGAGAGAGGGGAGAGAGAGGGAGAGGGAGAGAGAGAGAGAGAGAGGGAGAGAGAGAGAGAGAGAGAGAAAAGA